TTGACATGTTCGGCTTTGCATGTGCTTGCCGAAAGTGGATCTTTTGCGTCGCTCTTTCTCTCTCGCTCTCTCTCTGTCTGTCTTGGCACTTTGCCAAAAGCAGGATTGATGTCGAGCAAGGGCGCAGTACTAAAGTTGACCGGTTGCCAGCCAGAACCTGGATCTGGGCAAATTTAGCTACAAGATATGGCTCCAAACGGTTGGTTGAACAGCGGCGAGGATTCTCACTCATCCTCTACATCTTGGCTGCTTGGCGAGATGCAGCTTGGCGAGCAGCGGAAATTCAAGATTGAGCGGAGAAAGAGAGATGGCGAATCCAATCCACTTGGAAGCGCCGAGGGAAAATTTTAAAGCTCGTTCTCATCTTCTTGCGTCATGATGGCCGGTCGTTCCATGTTCTCTATTTCGCACATCCTCTCTGGAGCGTATGGACCAATTCCCAATTTTTTTTTCTTTCTTTCTGAAATGCCACGCGAAGGTGAGCGCCGCGTTCGCCGTCTTGCATTGCATCCTTCCTTTCTTTAACAGACACATACCTACGTCGTACATCACTGTCATGCAAGTATGATTACTTGATGTTGAACGTGTTCAATGCGACAAATTACAGAGTTGACCCGTCTTTGAGATGACTTTCAAGAAAGAGTAGGTGTGTCTCTGAATGGATTTTCGGCCGCGTTCATCTGTGTGAGATGATGCTTCATGTGGGGCCCGCCGAGATTTGTCCGTCGCTGTTTGTGGTGGGGTATTTTTAGAGTCGAGAACACCCTCCCTCACCTTCCAACTTTTGTACGATAAAATGTTACATCAGTGCCTCGAACAGTCTTTGAGAAATCCAATGTTGAATTCGCACGACTCCACATTCTGGACGTGATTGCCGAGCTTCAAGCCTACTGTAGCCGCCGCACAATCGCCGCACAATGTCACGGGTCCAGCTCGACGTTGTTGCTTTTCCATACCTTCTCACCCTCGCACAAGCACCACCACAGCGCGGTACACCAACTTGATCTCTCGCGTTCGCATTCATACACCCCACATTGAGGGGGGGAGCATCATCACCGCTATGGCCAACGACCCCAAAGCCCTCATAGCGGCCAAATTTCTCGACTCGTTTCTACGCGAGATTGTCCTCGATACCGCCCTAACCACCCATACCAACATCAAACGCGCTCGATCCATCTGTCATCTCTGCGGCACTCGATGTCAAGCACACACCCCCGCTGCTGAACAATCCATTCTCTCTGCCACCCTCGATATCTCTTCAAAACCTGCTACACCAGGCTCTCGATCGGGTACACCTGCACCAGGTGGGTCAGGATCGACATCATCCAAGCCGGACTACTACTCGAACAATCCGCTCTTCGAATGTCTTGTCTGCTCGAGGCAGGTCAGCTCGAATCGATATGCTACGCATCTGGCAAAGTGCATGGGCATGGGAAGTAAAGGTGGGAGAAAGGGCGCGGCCAGAAATGCGAAAGCAACTACTGCCGGTGTGGCAAGCTTGGCAGCGCGGAGCGGGGCAGGTACACCAAGATACGGTAGTGATCTGGACGATGATAGCTTTGCAAAGCGTAAAAATGGCGTCAATGCTAAGAATGGGACAAAGAGGGCCAACAGCCCTCTCGCGGCGAGTACATTGGCCAACGCGAGAATGAACAAGAGGATCAAGACTAGCTCACCCACTCCTCCTCCCAGCGACAGTGGAGTGGGGATGAACAGGTCGTACTCGAGTCAGACTTTTGCACCGTCCGCTTTGGGCACCTCCACTGTACTCAGTGGGTCACCGCTCAACCCCAACAACAACAACAACGCTTCTTCTTCAACCACCACAACCACCACCAAGTCCAGCTCAAAGCTCAATGGCAGCTCCAAACTCAAACACGATTCCTCCTCCTCCTCCTCCTCCACAAAGAAACGCAAACGGTTCATAGACGACGATGAGGAAGACGACGCTGGTGGCAAAAGATCCTACGACGGCCAATCGGCGTCCGAAGCTGATTCTAACGGAGAGGAAGGCGAGATTTCTGACGATGACGATGATGATGACGTCGCCCTTGCCGCAGGTTCACGTCCACCTTCATCATCAACAAAGATCAAACTACCCATCAGGTCCACCCCAACAACATCTTGCTCCTTCTCTAAGCCGAAAACTTTCATCATCGCAGACGACTCTGACGAGGATTCGGATACGAATCTTTCTGCTCGTCGAAAGACCAACCCCGCATCTGACGATGATGACGACGAGGACGATGATGACGATGATGACGATGATGATGAACACGACGATAATGATGATGATGATGACGAAGACGATGAAGAAGATGACGACCTACAGGTTACACGAGTCACACACTCATCAAACGCCGGCGGAGCGCGAGCAAAGAAAAAGAAACCCTCCACCACACCCAGCGCTACCAACAGTGGCGGATTGCAAAGAGAAAGAGGAAGCGACGGAGAATTCATCGACGTCGAAAGCGCTTCTGAGCAAAGCGATGCTGATTCTTTCTAACCTAGCGCTCACTCTTGATTCCATTCGCACTTTTTTTATCATCTGTATTTCTACCCCTGGTCATCTCATCTCGTCTCGATCAAACCTTTGAACTTGCTTCTCGGCTTTGATTCCGTCGCTGTGTCAAGGTGAATTGAAAAAATTTTATCATAGAGAAGATGAAATGGGTACGAGTACAAGGTAGAGAAACAAAGCAAGAAAAAGAAAACATAAGAGCAGGGGAAACAAAAGCAATCCGAAACGAAGCCGTTTAAAAAGAACGGACCAAAAAAAAAAAAACAAAGAAACCAAAAGAGTGTTGAAAACATGCTGCGTCGTCCCTAGCCTTTGTGGCGGTCCGACGTCAGCCTCGTTTCGTCATCGATTCCAATGGGGCTCCTACACCACTACATTGGCGAGTACGGCGATAGCCACTGCCACCACCACAGCCCCCATAGCAGGCATCATGATAGCAGCTGGACTCAACATACCCAAGCTCAAAAAGATGTTGCCATACTTTCCACTACCATTGGTCGAATTCAACGGGTTGAATCCGATCATTCTCGACTTGTCTTCACTTTCCAAATCGGCACAGCTTGGAATCTCGCATTCCTGTTGCGGGGAAACATCGTCTTGGCGTCGATACCAGCATTGAGTTCCTGTAGAGAAACCACAGCAGGTGTTGATGAATCCGTTGCCCCAAGAAGCTTGCTGGTTAACGGCGAGATGGTTGGTCATGCTACAGGTGGATTCGGTGATGGTGGCGTCTCCTCCTGCTGGTGCGGAACCTGAAGCGGTGGATTGGGCAGCTGAGGAGGAGGTAGTGGCGGTAGTGGTGGTGTTGGATGCTTGACGTGCTTCCAAAAGGGATCGCTCGGAGAGAAGTGGGTTGGAGTCGGACAAAGATCGGTCGATGAAGGGTTGCGCTACGGAATCGGCGTGCAATTGTGCACAAGACATTGAAACCAGTGCAAGCACCGCTGCGACCGTGTAGAGTGTGGCGAATTGCATAATGTATGAAAAGATGAGATGAAGGTGAAGGTAGTGGAGGGAAAGAAAGAGAGAGAGAGAGAGAGAGAGATGAAAAGTGTGGGGTAACCTTTACTGTAGAAAGCGCTTTCGCAGATAAGATTTGTGCGTGTGAGCGTTGTTGTGGCGAGTTGGGAACCAAACAGGGGGATGGAAAGAAGAAAGAGAAAGCTGTTGTTGACGCTAAGAGAATCGAGACCGTGCGAGGGGTAAACAATGAACGTGTGGCGAAGGTTCTGGCGTAGATGAAGCGGGTTTGAGCGACGAGCGACTTTGGTTTGCAGCAATGTTTACACGAAGGCTGTATTGAGTACGAATATGAAGTATGGGTAGAGGTGGCGAGCAACAGGGGATGATGATGATGATGATGATGAGAAGAAGGATACCAATAGCAGCGGCGGAGTATAGAAACGTACAGTACTGTACGCACACACGGGGTCGGAATGAATCCATCCATCACGATCCATCAAAATCAGCCTACGGGAAAGCGGGTCAAAACCCCTTGAGCTCACGCGCCGAGACACAGAGAGAGAGAGAGAGAGAGAGAGAGGAACAAACGCCGCGTGCTTCTGCTTCTTGCTGCTACTGTACTACTGCTGCTTCTGCTGCTGCTGCTGCTGTTGTTGTAACGAAATCGAAATTTGAGGGGAAATTTTCCTTATTGCACAGTACTGTACTGTACATTCCTCCGATCCACAGTGCAGTTGTGCAGTTTGAATTGTTTGTCCAAGTCCAAAGATGGGAACCGCCTCGCTTGGACGACCCGTCAACCATCCACCCTTTTTCCGAGATGACCGCCTTTGACCCTCTTTCTTGACCCTCTTTGACTCTTTCTCTATCTCTGCTTCAATGTCTTCCTGAGCATCTTTCAATCTGAGCAGCTGTATCGAGTGAGCCATACTTTATATATCATCCTCGAGGCCAATATGCGGAGTCGGAACTCGAATTACTGTATGACTTTTTTTTTTTTTTTTTTTTTTTTTTTTTTTTTTCCTTCTTGCTTTTCCTTTTTAGCCGATTTCAGCAAGGAGAAATTCCTCCTGCGAGACGAGTGTCAAAAATGTCAAATCTGGGCCCCTCACTCCATGCAGCCGATGATTTATTAGGTCAAAAACTTTGGCGAAAAAAATAAAAAATAAAAAAAATAGAAAAGAAAAAAAACACATCACCCCGCATGAGCTTTCACACCAAAAGAAAGAGATTTCGCGCTAAAACAGCAGGAGCAGCGTGTTAGGCTGTGTTCCTGGTTCGAAGCCCCACAATGCAAACACTTGTTAGTCCTTTTTGCCTTTTGTGTTCGGTCAGTTGGGCATGGCTTGCTCTTGTCTTTGTCTCTGCTTCCTTTGGTGGTGGTATGCAGTGGGAAAAAAACCTCCCTGATTGTGTTTGACGTTCGGATTGTGGTGCAAAACGATAGTAGATGTAGACCAACCACATGAGTACAACGGGAATGAAACGGGAAGGAAGACAAGAAAAAAAGCAAAAGAGTGGAAGGTGGGAATCGAGCCCACGACCTCAAGATGTTTCAAAGGGCGCCGCTCTTTATTCCAAGATACGTTGCAATCTCACGCCAAACCACTAAGCCTCTCCCACGTCCATGTTGCACTCAGTCGTTGCTAGCATATATATAGTGTATTGCTCACAAGGCTGTGTGGTGGTCACGCTTAAACCCCGCATCTCGAAACTGTGTGTCACCGGCGGGATTTGGCCGCTATTACGCCCGTCGAACCTCCACACTTTCCTATCCTTGCTGTTCTGTTTGCGTTCCTCTCGTTTGGAAGCGGGGGTGTCACAAGGTGTCTGTCTGTTTATGGATCAGCGAGTTGCCCCGTGCTTCTTTTTGGAATCAAGGGTCAAGATATAAAGCCTCGTAAGGCCCAGAAGGAATGTCGCACGACATCCTGACCATATCTACAAACAACCACCGTCCCACTCTCCCTTTACGAAACAACAACAGCAAACATGCCTCTCAACGGATCTTGTCTCTGCGGAAATGTCAAGATCACCGTCAAAGATGGTGGATTGCCGTTGAAGCCTATTGTTTGTCGATGCACGTGAGTTTGCGACCTCGCTTTCCTTCTACAAGAGATGGCGTTGACAAGGCAAGTGATGTGCTCACACGATTATTGTTCAATCTTGATGCTGATGTGGATGGGAAACAGTAATTGTCAGCAGACTGCTGGAGCTCGTAAGTATCACTCTTTGTCGCCACTAGTAGGAAAGTTGAGCGACGATCGCTGACCGGGTCATATTATTCCATAACTGTATGACAGCCTTCTCTCTCGTCGCCATCCTCCCCGAGGACCAGATCGAGATTCACGGCGAGACAAAGGCCTGTAAGCATGACATTCCCGCTTTCAACTCCCTCCTATCTTTGCTTCCTCTTCTTAATACATCACTAACTCTCGCATCCGCTTTGACATTGTCAACTCGCAGTCAAGGACAACACCACCGATAGCGGCAACGCCTCCTACCGACGATTCTGCGGCGAGTGCGGTGCGCCCGTCCAAACCGTCGCTCCTGCACGTGCCGGCAGTGCCATTATCAAGATGGGCCTTTTCGCCAAGTCCGACGCCTGGGGTAAAGATATCGATACTCCCGTCGCTCAGATCTACACTCGAAACAAGAAACAGTGGGAACCTCTGATCGAAGGTGTTGCTGCTGCTGAGGGTATGCCTCCTATGTAAACAGAGATCGATGTAGAAGTTTCTGTAGAGCAGTAGAAAACATTGTTACGTTGCATTGAAAGAATGCTCGTTTGTTGCTGATGACCGAAAGAGAGAATCGTTTGCGAAACGTGCTTTGTGTGATGGTAGTTTGTCATCTGGGTCAGACCGTAAGTCGGTGGTGGAGAACAAGATACAGCGACAACCAGCTTTCAAAGCAATTTCTTTGCGAAAGCAATCTCGCAGCTCTTGTTCGCCTTCATGACACCACTTGAAAGCCTCTCAACCACCTGACTCAGACAATAAAGTTGCTGAATCGCACCGAAAGCCGCGACACAGGGCAAAGCTGAATGAGACACGGAATGCTCCCTTATCTTTGGCCAAGCAAAGTTGAGATCCGCGGTGTGCCGTGTTGTGTGTGTGGCGGCGCCCACATTCTCTTTCTCTCCACAGAAAGCAAAGCCGGAAATCGCGCGCGTTTTCGATAAGAAGGCTGTTGTTCATTCTAAACCCTGCATAACGCCGTCTTGCGCTTGGACCACGCTTGCTGACCTTGCTATATAACCCTTAGTCTCACCTTCTCCTTGCGCATCTTCTTTGCCATCACCCACAACCAGATCTTCAGCTTCCACTATCATCGCCTTGTCGCCATCTACCACTTCCAACTCTCAAGCCACACTTTCTCCTTTCTGAACCATTACCGCATCAAAAGAGGAGAATATAAAATATATTCGCCATAATGTCTACCTCCTCCTCCTCCTCCTCCTCCTCCTCCTCCTCTGGTACCATCACCAGCAAACCCAAAATCCTCTCCACCCTCCCACCCATCTTTTCCACTCTTCACGATGCCAAGTCCAAATCCAAGCTAACTTTTGCCGACATTGCCTCTGCTATTGGAAGAGACGAGTGGTACGTTGCCGCTATTTTTTACGGTCAAGCCAAACCCTCCCCTTCCGACGTTGCCAAACTCAGCTCGACGCTAAACGTCCAGCAGCGCTACTTGGAGGAAGCTTTCGGACAAGACTTTTTCCCTCATAGAGGACTAGGTGACTTTCCACCCCAGGATCCTGTTCTGTATAGGCTCTACGAGGTGTTGCTGGTCTATGGATACCCTTTGAAACATATGATTCATGAAAAGGTACGTAAATTTAGCCTCTCCCTCCACTGCCCCCCCACCTTCCCAGCAACAAACACATGACTGATAAGGCTGACATCAATCCATCCTACCATGTTGCGAATCGCAGTTCGGTGACGGCATCATGTCAGCAATCGACTTTGAAGGTCACGTTGAAAAGGTTAAAGGTAATCAGGGGGAGGATAGGGTCAAGATTACGCTTGATGGCAAATTCTTACCCTATCGCCGATGGTGATCTCTCCCCCATCTTCAGCATCGCCTTTCATCAAGCGAATTTCGTATCTCATCTCGCACTCGCAATCATATTCTCAGCCCAAATCCGGTTTGGTTCACTATTATTATGTTTGCATGGCGTCTTAAAGATGCTGTGTGTATGGAGAATCAGCGCAATCTGCCAACCCGCGGTGGTGGTTGAGTTAGTCTTCGGTGGGGTCACCGTACTCGAAGCAACCCCTATGCCTAGTTCTTGCCTCCTCTAGACCCTTCTGCAACGCCTTTGTCAGCGCAGGGTAGCTCTTCCAGTACCTAACTTTATCATCTAGCAACGCGTATCCCTCTCGGGTCAACTCATAGTTGATGCAACCCTGTTCGGGGCTATGGCCGATGTTGGGGCTTTCCGGGTCGTAGAGGCTGACGTGGGCAAGATTGGTACCTGGTTCGATGTAGTCGATGTTGGCGATCATTTTCCTGCCTTCGGCAGCGATGGCTCGGAACCTGTCCAGTGCTTCCTCGACGTATTCTGTCTGCTTACCGTCATACAGCCTAACAAAGGAGAGACGAGCATCACGTGCTTGGGCAGGGAGACGGGTACGGCCGAATCGAGCAGCATCGAGCGGGCGAAGATCCCTGAACTTGACACTCTCCTTGTTGCCATAGTCGATGAAGGAGACTTGGGCTTCCTTCAAGCCGGGAGATACTTTGCGGATGATGGCACGATACCATGCGCCGTCTTGGCTGAACTTGGCCGAGACGAGATCGCCTGCGCGAGGAATGAAGCTACCTGGACCAGCAGCTACGGGTGACTTGTGATGCAGCGAGAATTCCTCCATGAGATTCTCGAGTTCGTGAATCTGGTCGTTGAGCACTTGAAGACTGAAGCCGAACGGATCGTCGGGGCCCGAGGATCCGCGAACATCCGAGATGATGCAGTCGACGTACTCTGTCCTTGCTGGGGCAGGAGCGGCTGCGGCTGCGGCAGCAGCAGCAGCAGCAGCACCGCCATTGGCAGCACTACCCCACGCAGGAGCTCCTGCACCTCGGGCAACAGCACCGGCACCTTGAGGCGCGACACCAGCCAATTCGGCATACTCGGCCTCCTCAGCAGCCGCATCATAATCGTGCCACAAGCCGAGCTTGCCAGCTTGGGCCTTCTCCTCAGCGTCGAGCAGCGACTTGTAGAAGGGAGTCGCCTCGGCACTGTAGCCATGCACTGTGGCGAGACCGCTCTCGACGAGGTTGACAGCGAGGTTGTCAGTCTTGTTGAGGTAAAGCGCACCAATAAAGCCACCGACCTTGTCTGTGCTAAAGACCTCGATCTCGACATCGCGCTGAAGAGCACGCATGGTCGAAAAGTCGAGCCCCTCGCGACCGAAGGGTTCGTCCTTCTCGGATGCGTTGCGGGCCGTCTTGGGCGCGCGAATACCGGCAAGGACAAAAGTGAGTCGCACATTCTCGCGGGGAACGATGAGCTTGAAGCGCGAGGCCGAGGCAACAAAGTCGACAATGGCGGTCAGACGACCAGCACGCTTGAGACCGGGAAGGAAGGTGTTGGCCTTGGAAGCCGTCTCGGATGCATCACCCATACGAGGAGCTGGGAGCTCCTTTCCAGAGTGGATTCCCTTGGCTTCACTCACAGCTTTGGCTTCGGCCTCCATGAGGCGGTCATAGTCGGGCGATCGATCCTCATCATCACGACGATGCCTCTGCACAGTAGCGAGACCTTTCGAGATGAGAAGCAATCCGATATCGGCGTCCTTGTTTCCCTGCTTGATGGTGGCATACTCGCGCTCGTCAAAGTCGCCCTCCTTGGGCTTGATGTAGTCCATCTGCACCGAGACAGTTTTGCCGACCAATCGCTTTCGGAGAAACTCGCGTGACTCAGCAGCGTATCCAGCCTGCTTGGCATCCTTAGCCTGAGGCTGACGCAGCGAAGAGAAGTGGATACGCTTTTCGGGGCCGAGCTTGCCGTCGGCATCGGTCTTGCGGACCTGGATTGTGTCACCAGAGATGATGCGCGAAACAACAGCGTCAAAGGTGCGGGCGGCCACGGGCTGATTGGCCAAGGTGGTAGACGAAGAAGGAGGAGCAGAGTAGGACTGCCAGAGGTTGAGACGTTTCTCCTTGGCGGCACGCTCGGACTGACGGTACTTTTCCATTCCGCCGTAGGAAGCGAGCATACCGGCGTGCCAGTCGACGCATCGTGCCAGACCAGCGGCCAGCAAGAACTGAGCAATATCGCCGACGGGATGGATGGCGAGACCGATCAGGACGCTGGCAGAAGGCTGAGCGGGAGCGGATGCGACAGATGCAGTGCTGGCAAAAGGTGTAGGAGCTGCGACGGGTTGAGGAACTGACAGCAAAGTGACCTTGATGTTGCGCTGGAGGAGACGGCTCTCGACAAAGAACTTGGCTTGTTCGCCAAAAGGCTCGCTAGCGTCGGTAGGGCTGGCGCCACCACCACCGGTGACTCGGGGTGCCTTGATGCCTGCCAAGCTGAGGTTGATCATCTGCTGATGTGTTGAAGAGAGGAGCAGACGCACACGAAGCATGCTGCCGTCGCGGACCTGTTCGAC